AAAACAAGGTGTGAAGTAACCATGCAAATTACTCGGTACCCTTAAGTGTTTACACCTTAATCGATGTGCCGGTTAACCACACACGCTCCATCGATACTATGATAAACATTAAGTTACCCTTTGCCTACCTTGTTAAATACGAGTTAGTGTGCCGGTTAACCACACACGCTCTACTAACCGACTTAAACAAAGTGCAAAGTGTAATTTCATGGATTAGCACCTTATTCACATTTTTCCTAAGTAACTAAGATTGGGAATTATTAAGAGTAGTTACTTAGTATTTATCATTAATACTTTTAATGAAGGGAGAATTATAGTCCTGTCAAACCCGTTCGGCTAACGACCCTCCACCAGTCAAGCAAGCGGTGGGTGAGAGTGGACACCCATTAAGTTGCCATTTTATAGGCAACAACCTTATACCCACCTTATAGACCGGCTTCGTGAATGAGGCATACTAGCGGTAAGACCGACTTTACTCTTATACATATATATTATTAACTTATAATATTATAAAGTATAATGGTTGAATTTTAACTTTTAAAATTCTAAGGGCTAACTTGGAATTAAAGTATTCATAAGAGAAAACTTTACAAATTCCAAAACTTGAGGGCAAGTTTTGAAACTATTCAAAACTAATTAATTCCATAACTTATGTGTTTAAAGTAGTTTTAATCCAAAAACTCTTCAAGTTCCATAACTTGAGGACAAGTTATGGAAGACTTTAAACTAATAAAAGAATTAACTTTTCTTTATTTTATAACTTATGGAATTAATTAAGGTTACACTTTTTTTATTTATTATTTAATGAAGAGACTCTTGAACTTCCATAACTTGAGGACAAGTTATGGAGTCATAAAAAAATATTCAATGACACAAGACTCTTCATTTTGTAACCATTACCAACTTTTATGAGTTTTATGAGTCTTTAATGTGACTCTTCATGTAACTTGAGGACAAGTTACACAAACATATTTTATACTCAACTCTTAGATTAAAATGGATTGAAAACAACTATTTCAATTAACTTTTATATTAATCTAAGCAACTCATAAGAACAAGATAATTCAAATCAAACTTTTTCATGTAATTAGCCTAATCACTAAACTAATTCAAAACATGAATCTATTGACAATTATCTTTGAAATTGGACTAGCATGAACATTACCACATCAAAAACAAGTTTATAAGTTCAAAAACAACTTAGGGTTATGTTCCTAGTCCATTTCTAGCCAAAAACCTCGAAAATATGCTGTCTGGGGGTCCAACTCATCGAGTGCATGAACCAACTCGGCGAGTTGGATCGATTTGATCACTTTTTAGGCATGGACTCGCCGAGTCTCCTGATGGACTCGCCGAGTCTGATGATCAGACAGCAACAAATTCGTTTTTTCAGCTTCTATTGCAGGTTTAACAAAAAAACAAGCCTAGGCTCTGATACCACTGTTGGGTTATGAGCATTCTAACACCCCTAAGTGTACATGCAACCCTAAATACCTTGGATCTATGATTTCTCTATTATACATGCAAATATGAACACCCAAGGTATTATCCTAATCTAGCATACAAACTATCAATATAACAAGATAGAATACATACCTCTTTGATGTAGAATGTCTTCATGAAGCTTGAGTGCCTAGTGCCCCAAGTGTGACACCTCAAATGGTTCACACAACACCAAATACACTTGGAATAACTTGAGAGAATTCTACACTTCATGAAAATCGGCTAGCCCTCTCTAGAATAATACTATCTCTCTAGTGGCCGATTTTGTCAAGAATAATATCTTTATATAGTGTTACAATTAGGGCAAACCCTAATTGTCATGGCTTTCCATTTCCTTGGATCCATGGGTTCAAATACACCATGGAGCATCCATGGAGCATCATATGGGTTTTGGCCCAACTAGATAATCCATGGAGCATTAGCCCACTATACAAGTATGGATGATTTACACAATCAACCCATATATTTAATTAGTCTTCTTTTGATCACTTAATTAATCCTAGATTAATTCTTGATCAATACTAATTAAATAATCTTATTATTCTTATTATTAATATACTAGAACTTATAATATATTAATAACCGTAAGTGTCTTATTTCTCTCATTATAGTCTATCCAAGTGCATGATGCCATGCAACCCAAATGGACCATGCGGGTCGGGCCAAGTCTTACCAATTATAGTTATGGACTTAGACATTAATCCAACACGAAGAAGGTCATATTTCTAAGACTGCCCACAGAAAAACACGCCTCCACAGCCAAGGGCATTCAACATGTTCCTCAACGAAGCAGAAAAGGATGGGAGGATTAAAAGATGAAGACTTCACATTAATATATAAAGTCTGTATTAGGAAGCATAACCTGTTAGAGGCATAGTATAGGGTGAACTTGAACTTTTGTGTAATAGTTTCAAGATCTAATATAAACCCTCGTTTTGTTATCTGATGTGTTGAATGATTATATGATTTATGTATAGTGACTTGGTTAACTGCGAGACAATACTTGGGACGAGTATGAGTAGGTGTGAATGGTAGTAGAGATCTATACTACGGGAAGCATAGGACTCACGCTTGGATCAGGGGAAGTCACAAGGTTATCAAGAAGCTAGTAATTGATTTCGTTTTATTCAAGTTTGTCATTTCCCTTGTTTCGGTAATGGCTAGTAGGATGATGGTTATTCCGACCCTAGTGGTCATATTAATTGAGTCCGACCGCGATGAGAGGTCATCGGGGCACGACCCATCGGTTAGTTTCAATAGATAAATGAATGTATTTATCCTTAGAAGAAGAAGGAGTCCACAATAAGGATTTCTTTTGTAACTTAAAGATGTTGATCTAAAGTCCAACGTAGTACGAAGAGCAGATGCAGGGTTGAGCATCAAGGTTATTACTTAGAATGGAGAGATAACATATGGAGTCAGTATACAAATCCTATTTCGTTGAAGATTCCGGGACGTAATCATCCTAAGGGGGAGATAATTGTAACGCCCGTAGATCAGGGCTAGTCAATTTAGAGACAATAAGCGTCAAAAAAATGAATTTTTTATAGAAGATTATTTAGGATGAATAATCCTATCTAAGTTGTAGTATATGTTACAAGGTTTTCGTGCATATAAAGAACGCCAAAATCCGAGTTATAACAAAGAAGTTATGACTTGTTAAAGTTTCGCGACAGAACCGGCACAATGCTGAATGACGTAAAAAGTGAATTTACGTTAAAGTGATATTTAGCCATAGCGATCTAAACGAGAATCGAAGATCTCGTTGTTAGTAGCGAAACGACGAAAAGTTAGGCAAGAACGAACGTCGGACGAAGAAGTTATGAATTTATAATGAAATTTTCTGTCCCGACCTATGAAAAATAAATAATAAAAATAAAAGTCAAAATTAGCCGACGGAGCCTAAACGAAAGTCGAAGAGTGTAGTCTCACCTACGCGTGGATATAAAGAATGTCGAAAACGGAGTTCGTATGAAGAAGATATGAATTTTCGAAGTTTATTAATTAATTAATAATTAAATTTAATTATTAAATCCCGGTATTATCCGAAGGCGAGTCATCGGACTCATCCGAAGTATGCCCCGCGTACAATGAAGCATGACGACCTTCGCACTCGAGTTCTTCGGATGACGCATGCAGTGACGAATTCGGACGCGTACGCCTGTACACCCCGCGTACTCCGAGGCTCCAGCCTCCTATAAATAGGATGCGAGGGCAGCCGGTTCTTTTGTTCATTTTCTCTCTTCTCTCTCCCGTTTTACATCGATTTGCATGCCAGAAATACCCTGAATCCCTGGTATTATTCTCGAGCCCCGAAGCAAGTCCTGAGATCCCAAAGATCCCGAGAAGTACGGTTCCCAAGCCGAAGCTTTGCCCGCGAGAAGTTCGATTTTTGTGGAGATCTTCCAGATCTACCAAAGAATACTACTTCTGCAAGTCGTAGTGCTGTCCGATCATCTTCTGATCAATTGAGTGTATACTACCTTTCCTAAACACGATAATAATACAAGTATGGTTTGAGTGTATTAAGTTATTGTTGTTTATATGTGTGAGTATGTAGTTACTTTCTTCTAACACATAAATATGACGTATTTGCTATGAAATACGTGCTATGTGTTTATATGTTATTTGTCTATTTGAGATGGGCATGGAAATTGGAGTTTTATACAGGTGTTATATGATTTAAACTGTGTAAGTATTTATATCTACAAAATTGTTGGGTAGAACATAGGTAGATGGAATAGTTGGTGACTATGGAGTTAGAGCCTATTGTATAAACCTTGGCGAGGATGTGACTTCATGCCTATTTGATGAACCTTGGCGACTATGGAGTTAGCGCACGTTGAGTAAACTTTGATGACTATGGAGTTAGCGCTTGTTGAGTAAGCCTTGGCGACTATGGAGTTAGCGCTTGTTAAGTGAGCTTTGGTGACTATGGAGTTAGCGCCAGATAACTATGGATTTAGTACTTGATAAATAAGCTTTGGCAGCAATGGAATTCGTGCCAAATTCCTTACGAATAAATGAATGAAGGATAGTTGGTTCTTAGGGTAAAACCTTAAGAAAATAATGGGGATGGGTAATTGGGTTGATTGTTTGCTGATTACATATAATAATTATATTATTGTGGGTTGAAAACCCTATATGCTCACCAGGCTCCCAAGCCTGACCCACTCAGTTTTCTTTTCATTACAGGTAATGGCACAAGGGTATAAGTTGGTGGACTTGACAAAAGATTTTGGATTATAGATCAGTAGTTGAATAACTATTGTAAGGTCTATTTTATATTGTTTATGCTTTTGGTCTGTAACGAACATGACATCCCGAGTTTTTATTATTTAACAAAAATACATTCTTTTCGAGAAATGTTTTGATAAATGGTTATCATATTTTATTTTGGGAACAAATTCCGCAACCGTTTTCTTTAAACGTTCACTCTGATTTATAAAAAAAAAAAAGCATAAACAAATCGGTCTTTTCTGACCGTGAAATTGGGGATGTCACAGCACGCGAGAGTTTGTTGGATTGCTCTTGGTGGAAGGGGAAATGTTGGTTCTACTGGACCCGCTTTGCCTTACCGGCTAGCCATTAGGGTCGTTTCCCGAGTTCGTTCGTCGATTCCTGCTCCTTCTGGTTTGCCTGCGGGAGTACCAGAAGAAAAAGGTAATGCCCCTATTCGAAAGAGGAGACGTTTACCTATGGTGACGTCGTCGGTCGAGGAGACTGTTAAAACCGATGTGGTGCACGATTTAATCAAATAAAAGTATAAATAGAGTCCTCTTTTTCAGTAACATGTAGTATGGGTAAGCAGGGTTGTGTCCTCAGGGACACATCCTAAAGTCTTAGCCTCTTTGCGTAAGGCATGAACTAATTCTTGACAAACAAATAAAATATAAAAATGGGGGTTTATTTCTGAAAATTTTAACTAATAAAAATAAAAAATGATAAAATATTAACTGGATTTAAAAGTGGTGAAAATTCAAATAAGAGAAATCAATTCCAGTTTCGCGGTGACTCCCTTGATTATATAATTAACCTTCAACACAATATTTTACTATGCACTTGTTTAAACTCATACTAAAGTTTATTAACAAGCTCTAATGACCTCTATTACAAAAATCATTTAATCAAAATAAGTTCTTTGAATTAAATCTAACTTTTTACCAAATTAACCAAACAAGCTCTTGATTAACAAAGAAAAGCTGCATTAGACACAGTGTAATTTCCTAGTAAAGTCCAATACCTCTCATAGGATCGGGGGTGTTAAAACTTGTTTGATCAGTTCATATTAGAGTTAACCCTAAACACAAAATTAATCTAATATATGTTACTTTTTACCAATTAGTCTAGGCAATTATGAATCTAAACAATTAGATAATTAGAATGATTCAAACACAATTCAAGTGGCCAACAGAAATTGAAATCAAAATCAAACACTCAATTAAACACAGAATTGATCAAACTAAATAGTATTCACAGTAAGACATAGTGCCTAATAATTAATCATACGAAAAGGTTATGTCTTGGAAAAACTAAAATCTGAGTTTTTAGGCTGACATGGTTAGAAACGGATTACAAACAGTAGAAAATAGAGTCTAAACGATAAATCTTACTAAACAATGAAAAGAAATTGAATCGTGTCCTTTAGATCCGCATTCTGCAAATCTGCTTAGAATCGCCAAGAATCGCAAATCAGGGTTACTGGATAAGCGTGGGGCTCTATTTATACGTCCAGATTTTAAAATGTTGTGCATGAGATCGCATTTACACAATTTGCAATCGCATGTATTACCAAAAATGTGTCCCATGCCTTTTAAATGAAGTACGTTGCCATTTTGATGCATTTTAGCAAAGATGTGACCGCATAAAGATAGGTTGCGATCGGATGGACTGTTGTTGCGATCGCATAAAGATACTTTTCTCATCCTGGTGAGTTTTTGGCACGAAAAAACTATGAAGCGAAGCTGCGACCAAACATGTGATCGCATGGATAAAGCTGCTATCGCAAGTACAGGGTATGCGATTGCAAGTCCTAAATTTTGTCTCTTTTTCGATCGTCATTCCTCCTTCCAAGCTGTTCTTGATCATTCCTCAGCACCCTTCCTTGATCTAGACTCCAGATACGCCTCAAAGTATCCACTAACACGTCCCGAAGTCACGTAATCATCCATGTGCTCCAAATTGCCCTGAAAAGTCATAACAAACACGAGAAGTACGAGCATTCTACAAAATAATCATGAAACACGAAATACATAAGAATAATCAGGAGTTAGTTTGATTTTTATAACAAAATACCAAGGAAATTGTGCTAAAAGATGCATATAAAATGCATCTAACGGAGACTGAATCTGATGATGAGGGGTTACATCCTTGTAAGGTGCGTAGGACTGTGTTCATGGCCAAGCTTTTTGGTGGTATCGAGGGTATTCTAGGTAGTAAGTTTTCTGTACCCGGGAAGAAAGAGGGTGGGGTGGTGCCTAGTTCTTCAATGACACCGCCTTCGTCATTTACTGGTTCACTCTCAGTTGATCCTGATTCTATCTTCGTGCATGAAGGTGCATTGGACTCACCTGGAGGTCCTTTCCAGCCAGGGAATCCTTCCCTTGTTAGCGAAACAGGAACTTCATTTCACCCCATATCTTCCAAGTCCTATGCCCCAGACTGGGCGATTGGTAGGAATTCCTTACTATCGGAAGACATTGCTACCCAGGAGTGGAGCTGTTGTACTCACCCCTCATCCACAATGAATTTGCTTGCGAGCCACTCAAGCTCCCGTATGGATGGTGACCTTCGTTATGTTGCGGCTCAGACTTCTACCCTTATGGTTGCTGCCGTCGATCGGGTTTGCCATGCTGGCGCAAATGAAAAACAATCGAAAGCTTTGCATGGTTTTGTGGCAAGCATACGGGAGGAACTCCATGATTCAGAGGCTGAGCATCGAGCCCTTTCTAAGCATAATTGTATTAAGGCTTGCGAGAAGGCCGCTTTGGAAGATCATGTAGCCACTTTTGAGGACCGATCAGAGCGACTTGAAAGCTAAGTGAGTTCTCTTACTCGGGTGAAAGGTGTAATAGCGAGTGAGTTGGCCAAGTGCCAACGTCAACTAGCACGTGCTCGTGTTGATGGTGCTGTCTCCCGAGGTGGTTTGCAATAGATGCTAGAGAAGGGGGTGGTTCGTGTAATTGTTAAACTTATCAAGAGGGCAAAATTTACCAGCAGGATCCAGGGTGTTCGCGAGTCATGTAAGGCCCTTGGGTTTGAAAATAGGAAACAACTGGGTGGTTTCTCCACAACTACCAGTGAGCCTGAAGTCCCGGATCATGGATGTGTCGTGAGAATGGCTGAAGAGGTGGACGCTGCTCTATCATCCCTTGCCGAGACGGATTTCGCAGGCCTCTTTCGCTTGGAAAAGATGGATTATGATGGTTTCTGTCAGTTTTGTTGCAACCGAGTCCGTTAAGTTCTTCCTCAGACTCTGAGGGTTGATTTGTGTTTGTCCCTTTTAACCGTTCTGTAATGTAGTTGCCTTTATATGTCCAATGAAAAACACCGGTTGTTGTTAACTATAGACTTTGCGTTTTGGCCTTGTACTTAACATGGAAGTGTTCTTTTTCTCTTTTTATTTTGTTTTCTATGTATACCCATATATTAAATTGTCCTATGGTATCTTTGAGGACGAGATGCTCAACGTTTCTATTGTAATTCTTTTATGCACACTCCTTTGTCCTAGGGTTTGCGTTATTCGACTAACGCATGTGTTAGACATTGTGTAGTTGCTGCTTATTGAGCTATGTTCTGTTGGCTCGTATGTTTAATTTAGGTTTATTATGTTAAGTCATAAAAAGTTAGTCAATGTTGTGGAATGTACTGTATGGTTTAGCTACGAATACATTGGTCGAGATTGTCACCTCAAGACCTTTTACTGTTTTATCATCCGGGGAAAGGTTATGAATCTTTTAGAACCCCTGTTTTGTGCCATTAGTTGGGATTTGTATATTCTCATATATGAGATGCTATTAACACATTGTTGGTAAAGGTTATGACTCTTTTAAGACCTATGGTTGCATTCTTCAATAGATTTTGCTCAAGTAGCATAGGTGATTAGCCATTGTTGCCACTTGGAAAATATGCACAACCTCTTTACTTTGTGTTTTTGCAAATTTTATATATACATCTGGAAAGCTCTTTCAAAATGCAAATTATATTAACTCTTAAGAAAAACAAGAGAAGTAAAACATGAGAAAATAGACTCTGAATGTCTAATTATCAGGGCACATGCCCGGTTTTTGCGTTAGCACCTGGAGTATGTTTATTTTGTGTGGAGTTTGACCCTACTCTTTTTTCTCATCCTTTGTTTTATTTTTCATTGAGTCTTTGGCTATTCCTACCTCATCATGGTTTTAGAGTTTTTCCTCATTCGTTGGCACTGTTTCTTGATAGGTTCGGATTTCTTATTGTCTCCACCATCAGTACCCTGTGTGAGAGAGCTGAATTTTGTCTTTTTTGCTCTAGAGGCATTCACCCTTTCTCTTATTCTTGACCCAGTGTGTGCTGAGACTATGTGAAGAGCCTTCGCTTGGCTGGTTGAGGGTACCACCCGTGCTTTTGTACGCACATGTCGACCTTACGTGTCACACTGTTACTTGGGTTTTTTTTTGCTCATCAGAGTCCCTTATCAGTGCATTTGTATAAGGGGGCTTGCATGTTAAAATGACTTGCGCTCTACCTCTACAATTGCTGCACCTGGCGCGTGTCTTGTTCATCCCAATACGAGTCCCAAATCACTTTTTGGCTGGGCGAGGTTCTGTTGTTGATCGTGGGCTAGGCTGGTACCTATGTGTAACACCTGTGTTTCTGGGATAAGCATTAGTACAGTGTTGTAATATTCAGGTCAACCATTATAACCTTTTTTGAAGTAATAAAGATGAATTATTTGAGTATTATGTGAATTTATGTGCTTTATACTTATTTATAAAGGTATAATAAATAAAGGATAAAAATAAGCGTAAAAAATAGAGTGTTAGATAAACCTGATATCTGTACATAAATTTGTAGTGGTAAAAGCAAGGATTCCGGAAATATAAAGTACACCGAAATCCGAATTATAACGAATAAGTTATGGTTCGTCGAAGTTTTACGGCAAAACCGGCACGGCACCGTGTGATGTAAAATTTGAATTTTTGATAAACTACTGTTTATCCTTAGATATCTAAATAAAATTTGTAGTATACGTCAAACTGAGAGCGTGCATAAAAAGAACGCCCAAATCTGACTTCGTATGAGGAAGTTATGATTTTTCTAATATTTGGCATAACAGTACACAACCTAGAATTCGAAATTTAGATCGATCGATTTTTGGCCAACACAACCTAAATGAGATTTGAAGATCTCATTAATAAGAGCTCAACGATTAAAAGACGGACGAAAACAGAGTCCGTATGTAGAAGTTGTGAATTCTAAATGTTCATTTAATAATGTAATCTTCTCATACCGTTAAAGTAAAAATCAGTCAAGAATTAGCCGACAGATTTTAAACGAAAGTTATAGATTATGTCTTCACCTACGCGTATATATAAAGAACGTCGAAAACAGAGCTCATATGCGAAAGTTACATGGTTTAGAAGTCGGAAGGGTGTTGTTGTGAAGGGGTGACGTGGTTAAATGCGGGCCATTGCTTTCTCCCCAAGTCTTGCCACTAGATGGTGACATGTAGCACCAAGTTGAGCCATATTTCAGCCTATAAATAGAACCCCTTCTACCCTCATTTCTTCACACCTCCATCTTTCTCTTTCTCTCTCTAAACTTCCCACAACCCCCCCCCCCCCCTAAAGCCCTAGAAAACTCCTATAGCGCTAGAAGAAAGCTCCGGAGCTCACGACGGCTCCGAAAAAAAGAGTTTTTTGGCTCAGAAGCTCTACTCCAGCGAAGCCCGATTTTTAGCAAAACTTGCTGTAAGTGAGATGAATCTACCATACTTTAAATATCGCTTATATTTAAATATAATATCATTATTATGAACCTATAAATAAGATTTATCAGTGATTCAAAGTCGTTATACTGATTGATCTACTTAAGGGAATGATGTCTAGGCTGTGATTTAGTGAGCTGAATAAAGTGGGATTTCCAAACAGTATACTTCGTATACCAAATGGATCCTACCTCCGATATGATCCTACCTGGTTGTTCCTTACTTGATAGATCATGTCGTAGACTCTGAGTTAATGATGAATCTAAACTAATAATTAGTCGCAATAAATATTAGACTAAAATCTTGTGGTAATAATAATAGGTTTTGTCGAAGGAAATCATATTGTTAAGAAGCGAAGTGCTGCTCGAATTTTGAGTCGTCACTTTAACAAGTGAGTGCATAGTCACTTTCATCTTACTTGTAGATAAGAAATATTTTATATTAATTACATGCTATGTGTGGATATTATCTGTTTACTTGATATCTATGATGGATGAACATTTTTATACGAGTTTTAAATGATTCCAACTGTATATGTATTTTATATCTACAAAAATGTTGGGGTAAAACATGGGTAGAAGAAAAAGACGATGTGCGATAAAATGATGAGAGGTCTCGATGTTGACGATGATCCAGTTATCTAGTGGAGTATAGATGATGACCGAAGACTATTCTAGACAGTCCAGTGGAATGCTAGCAGGCTCGCAACCTGTAGGTGTTTGTGAACAATATGTTCATCGGTGTACTCCATCCCTTCATGGTTTCCTTATGGACAATTATTGCTGAGGAACCCCCTTTGCAGTAGTGTCCATCCCGATGAAAATCTTTAGGATAGGTCCTTTATGATAAATGTTTTAGGGATGTAAAGTAAGGATAACAGGAACGGGTTATTGGGTTGTTTGGTTTGATGAAATTAATAAACTTATTTATTGTGGGCTGAAAACCCTATGTGCTCACCAGGACCCAAAGCTTGACCCACTCAGTTTCTTGTATTACAGGTAGTAGCGCAAGAGTATAGTTGGATGACTTGATGAGGGATTACGGATTATAGGCCAGTAGATATAAATAAATGGTGTAAGGCCTATTTTGTTCTGTTTATGCTTTTGATCTGTATCGAACATGACATCCCGAGGTTTGAATATAATGAAATACATTTCTTCGGAAATGCTTTGTTAAATCTTTATCATATTTGGGGAACAAATTCCAAGATACTTTTCTTTAAAATGTTACTCTGGTTTTCAAAACAAAGCATAAACAAATCAGACTTTTCTAACCATGAAAATGGGGATGTCACACTGTGTTCGTGAGTAGACGCTTCTTTGCTTCGCCATTATTGCTCCATACTCTGGTTGAGCCATCCACAGATCATTGCTCTCTCCTTTCTGTGGGGGAGATGATGTGATTTGACTGAAAACATTCCGTTGTCTTTTCATTGAATCGTGGATCAGCACTTGTGTTGGCGTGGACTTCCGATGTGGATCCTCCATCGTCTAACAACATTTACTTCGATACAATTGGGTTTCACGTTTCCTTTCTCGTTGGGCGTCGCATCCATTACCCGACTTGGTTTCCACTACCATTGTCGATCCATCACTCATGCTGAATTTGAAAACATTATGAAGGGTAGACGGAACCTCTTGTAGCTGGAACATTGTTGGTCGGCCCAGTAGAATATTATGGTCAGTCGGGCGATCAACAACCGAGAATTTGAGTTCCCTTGTTATCTGTTTGGTTCCATCATGACTGATCAATGTAAATGGGAGCATGACTATTCCTGTTATCCAGATGCCATGACCGGTGAACCCGACTAGCGGGCCCTAGCGCGGTAGCTGGAGTTGCTTCTTCCATTCAATTGGTAACTGCCGAAGGCAATGTTCATAAATTACGTTGACCCTGATTTTGGTATCGATGTACACTTGTTCGAAACGGTTTTGGCTAATGAAATCGGTGATGTGCAAATGGCCATTTGGATCCTAGTGCTCTGGCCTGGGGTCGTTTACAGAAAACGCTATGTTGAGGATGTTTTGATGGTATACCTTCGTGCCCATGTGCTGACTCTGGCGATTGCTACATGAGCGGGGCCATGTGATGGTAAGTATCTCACACCTTCTTTCGTGGTTCTTGCATCCATCCTTTTGATTTTTGGACTGGTGCTTATCCCCATCGAATTTTTCCCTGAGGTCTTTTACTATGTCGACTATATTTCCCACTAGTTGTTTCTTATCAATCTCCGACTTCAATACTATGCACTCGTTGGTGTCATGTGTTTTGCTTCAATGATACTCACAGCACTTCCTCTTGTTTGGGATATGCATTGGCTACAACTTTGAGATTGGCTTCCTTTCGCTCTTCGCCTTTGATTTGTCACAGATATTTTTCCACATGGAATGTAACGTCCCAAAATTCAAGACTAAAAATTTCTTTTATAAAACATTACTCAAAACATAATTATCAATCCATAACATAATCAGAGTATTAATTTCCAAAACACA